AACAATGGAGACTATTTCATATAATAAATGTTTTGTTTTGATATACAAGTTTTTCAGGTTTTTTCATCTAAGAAAACGATATTAATTTCTTGACAACCTAATATATCAGGAACATCACATGTGTATTCTACATACCTTAACTGCTTACAAGCCAAAGAAAATAGTTCAAAAAATAAACAAAGAATAAATTTCTAACACACAAAATAGGTAGAAGGCCATCATTAAAATATATATTAACTTGATGCTAATTTTCACAGTAAATGTCCTGGTTATGTAAATTGTGCAATATTATGTCACTAACATAGTTTCAAATATACATAAAATTCAAGCTTTTATTTTCTTATACATCTTGTCTTTGTTTAATAAATTGAAGAACTCAGGCTTAGCTACACCTTCCAATCTGCAGCCTTGCACCCTAACTACCAGACCATGTCAAATTCAGTCTAACAATTATAATATAAAATATGAATGAAAATAACTTTCAAGAAAGATTATCTAAATAACAATATAAATTTTTAAACAGTTTTATTTTACAAAAATTCTGTAACCTTGTGTTAAAACTAGTGCTTGATTATTTGATATAATTAACTATAAACAGTGATTACATCGATTACTGTCATGTAAATTAATCAACTAATCAAAAGTATTATTAAATCACTTAATCAAAATTCCAGTTATATAGACTGTCATGAAAATAATCAACTAACTGAATTTAGCATTTTTCTTTTTTTCAATTATTCCAACTATTTAGGTAATCAAAATCTTGTCGCCAAACTTGCTCACTATATCTTGTTATGGCAAAGCTACTAAAGCTATCTGCCACTGTAATTAGTTTTGAACTGAAGGAAAGGAACTGTCTGGCAGCATCTGCTACCAAATTGTTTTTGTTATCGTTGTTAAATTTCTGACTAAATGGAAGGCAATTGGTTGGCAGTACCCACCACAACCAGCTCTAATTAAAACTGATATATAAAAAGTATATTGATTTTCGTTTTGTCATTTTACCTCTTTCTAAAAATAATTCTTTCCTGAGTTATATCTTATTTAAATCCCCTTTTCTACCATCAAAACCAATTATATTAAACTTGGACTACTAATTTATATAAGTAATTATCAGATTTTCCATATTACAACTTTTAACTTGGTATCTGTATCTTCATGAAATTTGGCAAGCTTTCAGTAAACACGACAAGCATTTTTTACACCAAAAAATAAATTATTTAATCAAGTATTTTTGTCCATGAATATATGGAGTCAGTGTTTTATGCTCTAAATTGAAAGTGATTTTTTTTCATTTTAAAATTAAAAGTTTTCCTCAAACCCTTCTAAGTAAATATCAAACTTTTTTTCCAAGTTATTTTCTCTACCCCAACTCTATATGAACTCTGTCAATTTGAACGATATAGTAATCACCATAAAAAACACATAATATATCAAAATTACCTTTTTCTTTCTACATGACTGCAGATTGTAACAAAAAATAACAACTGTTTAAGGCTCATAACACATTTAATTTTATTGCTTTGTTGCCCTGTCTAACTAATAATCCCATGATAAAAGCTGTAAATAACTTGTCAAATGAGTAGCTCACATTACCATATTGAATGACATAAAGCACAAGTTACTTGCAAGCATACTCTAAGGATAATTTTTATTATCTTACTTAATCTAACCTAATAATTTTTACACTTTAGTTGCTTTTATAACAATAAGTAAAAATATCCTTAAAAAACAAGAACAATAGTACGTATATTTGACCTCTTGTCTTTTGCTGGCAGTTACCAATGGAATTTAAGCCTAATTGTTTCATAATTATGGTACTAGTAAATTAAACAATTTTTATTTATTTAAATAATTCACCTAAGAACACAGAATAATAACACACACAAAGTAAATAATTTCCTATAACTATTATAATTTAACTGGCTTTCTAATTAAGGAAAAGTACCTTAAAATAATCCCCTTAACTCCTTGATTTGAGGTTTCAAACTGATGCCAAAATAGCTAATACTTTATACTGAAAACAATGTAACATTAAACGTCTTTCCATTGGTTATAAATAAGATAATATAAAATGTCAAAAAAAAAACTTTTGGTAATTTATGAAAGAAGGGATGTGATAGGTGTGTGTGTGTGTGTGGCAAGTGGATCTGATTTACTTGTTTATGACTTTGTAAACAAAGATTGAAGGCTATAAAAATTAATTTGTCTTTGTAATATCTATATCATAATGAGTAATTTACATTAAACTCCATACTTCAGAGAGAGATGGTAAATAAATTAGAGAAGAGGAAAGACCTAGAGAACAAATGCTACAATTCTCATAAAAGGGGGTGATTGAGGATTTAATATATTTATTTACACAATTAAGAAAATAAAACTTCTGTAATATTAAAATTTTATTTATTAACTATGTTTTGATGCAAAGTTTATTTATACACACTGATAATAAAGCAAGTTAATTAAATTTTGAATGTAACTCTTTAAAGGTTATGACATGAGTATTTTCACCCTATAATGAGGACACTATTTTTAAAATCCTTTCCACGACCTTCAAAACTTAATTAAATCACTTCACTATTAATATATTTTAATGAGATTATTATCATGTATCTTATAGTTCAAAGTTTAATATTATCTTAGTTTTTATTCCTTTATTTCAAAAGAAAAATTGAAAGCAGTAATGAAACCTCTCACTTTTGTGTCACTGTCATAATATAAGAGACTGTTTAGTTTAGATATAATCGATTAATTTATTTTGTGAGTGAATATTTTATAATTGTTTAGTTTTGTTATAATAAGAGTTAAAAGCAGACGACTGTAGGAAATTATGTTTCTAATTCATTGATATTGAGACTACCTAATGTCGCGTGCAGTACACTGACATTGAGAATAGAGATTTCTAGAAGGCAGGCAGACAATTAAGTGATAAACATATTGTTACGTCTCTGTTTGTTTGCTAATTTCCCACTCTATTTTTGTATATATAAAGCGAAGACATAATTGCAGATAGATAGATATAGAGACAGGTAATTGAGCCAAGTGAGCGGTAGTGACGGTAATATAAAGTGTGTGTTTTGTTATCGAGATTGCAAATGTATTGACTGTGGAAATTCTGTGTATTGCAAAGTTGTATTGAGAAAGAATAAACTAGTTTTATTTAAGAAAGGACTTGTATTGCTGAGGTTCCTCGGGAAGAATCTTTACGCATTTGGCAAACACTAGAGTTGCCAGGAACAGTCATGATCCTTCTAGAAACTCATGACATGTTACCAGCATCACGTGACTTCCGCTGTCGTAACAATATACATAGAGTTAGATTAGTGGGAAAAGCAGACAGACAATAGCAGAAGAGAGTAAAGTTGTGGCCAAGGAAAAGTTCGGCGTGAAGTTAACTGCCTTTTATTTTAACAATTGGTGAAAAGAATATATATTTTAAATTCTGACAGTCACGCGACTCATGAGTTATAAACAACAACAAAATTCAGTCAAGTATAGCTTGAAGCATAAGCATAGTCATGTACCAGTAAGTCTATACAAGAATGTAGTTTACTTGACCTTCTGACACATGTGTTTCAAAGTAATTTCACTGAATGCAGCTGAAACAAGAAATAAATTTTATCAACCCCTGACAGGTGCCACACCCACCTTCCTGGTTGAGCTTTAGAAGTTACATTCACGTATTTATAGTCATTAAATAAATAATCAATGGTAAAGAATAAGAAAGGAAAATAAAACTATAAGTAAAAAGGTATAGGCGTGAAATTTACAAACATGTCCTAAGGAAGATATTTTAAGATTATTCAAAGAAAAGTTAAAAGGTATGCACATATATCGTTTCTTAATTTTAAGCATTTTATTCCACTGTGCGTCAATAATAACAGTTAGTGATATGGTAGAGTAAACTGAAAATAAAATATAAATATTTACCTTAAAAAACATTTGATATTCATTTAGGAGGTTCTAGATATTATGCAAATAAAATGTGAAAACTGTAATATCAAAAAATATTTTTATTTTTTCTCATGGAAATCACATTGAAAGTGAACTATTCAGAGACTAAGCACAAATAACTACATTACATAATGAATTTTTAGTAGTAGTAGTAAAAAAATCAAAATTATTTTAATTTTTCTCAAAGTACATATTTTTATGAAAGTTCTTGTCAAGTTTTAAACAATTTTATCCACTGGTTTTATTATTAGAAATAAATTTAAAGAGAGATAAGTAACGTCCTTCAGTCTGAAGCACATTGCCATGATTGGGTTAACCTAATTACAGTGAGAGGGTTAGAATACATTTGGAGCCTCACTACATTATTACATTCTATATCACATCACCACAGCTAATCATTCTTTCAATTTGTAACCATAGTTTCCATTGCAAAATACTGTCATGACCAAAAAACATCACACCTCCCTGCAAACCTTCCATAACCTATCTAGTATACGAGAACAAAAGTTCCCAACACCTGTTCAACAATCCGATTGCACAGAAATCCACAGTCACTGCATCAGCAACTTGACCAGTATGTCTTTGAATGGAATAGCATGAATACTACTTTCATTCTGTAGTTGCTTGAGGTATATGACTGTTGAATGGACATCATGGAAGCAATATGAATACACAAGACTTGTGTCTCTATTCCAGATGGAGATCTGTCTTAATCATGTTACACACTGTTGCGTGGAACAAGTGCATGTCTTTTGCTACCAACCTTTGTGTTCAGAAGTTCTCATCTTTTACAAGATGCTGCACTTGGCTTATCACAGCTGGGGTAAAACTTATTACAGGTCTCTTCTGGATGCTCCTGGTGCTCTGAATTGATCCATATTCCTGTCTTGGAAATTCTAAATCCTTGATCTCAACACATCTTTATGATCTGAGTGTATGAAGTTTTATGTCGAAAAGGATTGTTACATACCAAATATTTTTGGTGGCATCACACTAACTACAAAATGCCTAACTATGTCAAAATGTAGTTTATATAAAATCATCCCAATACAACTTTAAATTGATAGTAGTTATCACATAACTTGCTGATTTGTACATTTAGAATAATTTTAACCTATTGTATGCAACTATCTGTATGCTTGTAACAAGTCTCAAAATAACTGACTTCTATATTCCTTCATTTTTTGTACTTCAGAATTTCTTAATGGAGATTAAAAAGCAGAGCAGTTAATTTGACTAAATGATTACCTATGAGCATCAATTACATCAATTAGTGAAATAAAATTATTGATTTATCAAACTAACAATTAAATTGATTAATATCATTAAAATAACCATAAGTGTTTCTAATTATTAATATTTTTGATTATTTTAACCATCCAAGTAATCAAAATACTGTCATTATGATTTCTCATTGTTGTTTTTAATAAATTCAAGACTACTCAGCATAATCAAGTAGTTCCACAGCTCGCAAAAATGATATCCCATTAATTGCTGAGCTCTGTTATAGGACAAATTGGGTTAGTTTGAATATAACTTAGAATAGGACCAGGTTTGAAAATATTTTTATTGGTTTGCTGTAACCCTAAACTGATTTAAAATGTGGGTAGGTAGGGGTAAGTATTCTTGTTTTCAAATTGCTTGACAAAAAAGAATTTTGGAAATACCACTAGTTCTGTGATCACCTAAAAAATAACATGTTAAACCATGAATACAATTACTATCAACATTTTTTTCTATGAATAAAACTACAAAAATTTCAAATTCTTTTGCAACACACACTTGCTGGTCAATATCGACCTCAATCGATGAAGTTGAATACACTGTTGCAGACAACTTTATGGTTTGTTCTTCTATTTCATCTCATCCACCAAGTAAATCTACAAGTTCTTCTCTCTATGTGGATAAGTTTCCAATCGGAATTAATTTGTTTGTGATCCTTATCCTCAATCTGCAGGAATGTTTTTTTCAGAGATGGATACACTGAACAGACCTGTTCTCACTATGTTGTTGATGTATGCTCATCAATAGTAAATTTTCCCCTACTAGGTCGGGTGTTTATTAGTTTAGCATGAAGGGTCCTGGAGACGAGATAAACCATATTGTCAAATCTCAGTGCATATGCTAATCAGATGAGCTGTTGATTGGTAATCAGGTGATGCCCTCCCATATCGTCACAGACTACATGAATTTTCAAGAAAAAATATTCTATCCATAATATGAGAATAAAAATTTTAAAGTCAGCTAATTTTGTTAGATGGGACGGTATGTCAGTAGAAATTGGTGAAAATAAAAATTTCCCTTGTCATATTGGCAAAAAACTCTCAATTAGCCCCAATTTCAGATGGTCGGTCAGGTTATAGCTAACAAAAATATTTTTAAGCCTGGCTTAATATAAATATATTAAAAATATTGTTCTGATAGTCTTACATTATACTCTAACAAAACCACTTTTAGTCAATTTAATATACTTAGCGCAAAGGTCTGTGTGATGTGGCAGTAACAACATTTGAATTCTTGTAGTAATAGTAAAAATAACTGCTTAAGAAATGCAGTTTGAACATAGAAACTAGAAAAGGTGGAAAGAATTACTGATTAAAAAAATACCTTAGTCTGATACTTGTTACTTAAACCTGTCAGATTATACAGGAAACACAAAACTGCCCAACGATTCTTCAGCACAATCTGCAATAAAAATTTACTTTTATGAATTTAACTTTAGAACATGTATACATTGTTTAAGAAACTACAATTACAAGTACCAACTATTTCAACCTTTATATATTAGATGTGAAAAAAATATTTACTTAAATGTTATCGCTGAAAACAAAACTTTGAAATGGAGTATTATATAATAAAAATGCCCTCACTAAAAATTTTAAGTTTCACTTATATGGTCTCTGGTATTGTGCAGTTTAAAAACAAGAGAATAACAGTACTTATCTCTACAATACTAAAAATATTAAACATTAGAATATCAACCTTTAGTCTGACATAAATCAGAATTTATAAAATCAACATACCTGAAATTCAGATATTATATTGTATGTTTTATGTATCAAATGGATGAACTTAAACTTGCATGAAGCACAATGTAATATTTGGATCAGTTGAAACTGTGACTTTGATACAATTTTACTTCAAAACATCACATTTAATAAACAACTTAAAAATGTTAGTTTCTGTTTTGATACTCAGTGTACAAAAAACTAGATGTTAAAACCATGTCACGATTCTATGACAACCATCTAGTACAATTTTCAAAACCAGATGGGTCTTTACTGGTCATCAAATTTGACTATACAGAATAATTACAGAAAACATATGATTCATTATGAATAATAATTTAGTTTTTGCTATCTACATAAGAAAATTGTTTTATACCATCCATGTTAACAAAATAATTTGAAAAACTTAAAACATTTTAGTTGCTGATAATACAAAAAGTTGAAAAAATTAAAATTGACATTGATATTATTACTATAAATTAGTCTTCACCTTTTTTTTTTAATTGTTCTAAACAACTTACAAATACATACATTTTCTTGAAAGATATTCAGTATGATACTTCTTGGCTAAGTATTATAAAATTACTACTATACTTTCTGTTTTTCACCCATAAGGTAATGCCTAAATTGTTCAATTAAAGTAATAGGTTATTGTTTTATCTGTTTTATACATATTTTTACCAAGAAGCTCTCTAAATAACAGCTCTTATCTATTTTGTTTGTTTGATTGTTGTTAAGCACAAAGCTACACAATGGGGTACATGTGCTCTACCCACCATCAGTATCATACTCAGTTTTTCACTATTATAAACCTTCAGATTTACTGCTGTGCAACTGGGGGAACTCTGATCTATTATTAAGAAAAATAATGTAGTTAGAGCATAGAGCTCCTTGTGAAATTAAACTAATAAACTAAGTAACTTAGTTTAACATAAGCACAATATAACTAATTAAAAGAGAGAGGAAAGTACTAAAAAAAGGAGAAAAAGAATGGATAAAAAACTTAAATGTAAATGTTTTTAAATACAAAACAAAAGAAAACTATTTCTATTTTTTAGCAGATGCTTTTCTTTCTTTTTTTTTAAGTTTTAATAATAAGCCACTGAAGGTCTTTGGTACGTATTTGGATGGGAGTTATCTTTCTGGGGTGATTGGAATTTTGTGGTATAGGTGTATAAAGTGTGCAAGTGCTTATAAACATGTATATGTATTATTACTATTTACTCATAAATGCTTAATTTTTAATTATTTTCTAAAACATAGAACAAAAAATAAAAAAGTACTTATGATGTTACAAAATTGATTTGTACATGTGCATCATACTTGCTAAGCCTTGCTGTAAACCTCATTTATTCTCTCAAGTGGAGGGGGAAGAAAAGTTAACATTTTCCTAAATTGAAAATGTATTTCCAATAATACTTACCTCCACTGACACTTCACCACCAGGGTTTCTGTCTTTGCCCATCTAAACATTAGGCTAATTTTTTTCTCGCTTGCTCCAGTCTTTTATATCCCACTCAATTGCCCTTGGTGAAATACTTTCCACCTATGTCAATGCACCTTCTATCCTGGTACTGTATATAAGCACCTCATTCAGATAATCTTATCACTTTTTCAAGACTGATACCATCCCAGTCTCTAACATCAACTCTTGGTGGGGAGGAAGAGTGGGAGAGTGTCAGCAGAGGTATTATTGGAAATGCATTTTCCATTTAGGAAAATGTTAATTTCCAAAACATACTGATCTCTGCTGCCACTTATAGCTAGAATCCCACACATTGAGAAGGTGGACGGGCCAGTGAGGACATTATCCATACAGAAAGCATCTGCATATATCAGGGGTGTACCAAGATAAGAGTGATACCTGAGAGGGGGAACTGCACTACATCCAGAACAGTTAGCTCTTCACCCTGAACTTAGTTCCTGTATCAAGAGTGGAATAGTACATGAGTAATCATCACTATAGGCCAGCCCCAACCAGATAGCCAAGGTTCCACAACTCAATGTGATAAAGACTCCCTAGCTCTACTTGTAGATTCTGGGGGTAATGCGTGGTGGAGAGTTCTGAGGAACAGTGCTCTGGAAATAGTGCAATAGGTTAATCAAGTTTCCTAAAATTTTTTTATAAGCAAACTGACCATGTTTTATTCAATTCAATGATCGGCAGGATCCCCTTATGCTTTACTCATGATAGTCCATGAGTGGCTGTCCAGCATTGTACAGTAATACCATCCAGTCAGCCTCTAGGTGGTCTTATGGAACACCTCATTTTTACAGACCCTGTTGCAACTGAAATAAAGTATATTGAATTAATGGTTGCTAGTGCAGAATTGGTTTGATAAAAGCACACCAGCCTGAGCAACACTCGCAACAGAGTGGAATTTTGTGAAAACAAGGTAAGGGACCCTGGAAAGTAAAGAGACAAGAAGAGGAGAAAAAAAATTACTCGCCCATCTTTATAATCTAGCAGATGTGGTCAAAACAGCTACAGGGGGTAGTTGAAAACCCTCAAAAGAAGAAACTGCCAGATCATGTAAATAAGTGAGAGAAAAATATTGGGAGAAGTCCATATACCAGCCCGCACGATGTCCTCCAGCAGATAATTCAATCAGGCAGCTAAAGAGTTAGAAATGTGATGAATCTGATGAGACGTTACTCACAGAAGTTTCTTCCCTGTAAAGAAAGTCCAGAATGAGCAATATGGATCAATTTGCAAAGCCACCTCATCAACGTAATCTGGAATAAATCTCGGGAAACTGAAGGATCCCAATGAATAAAGAGTATTTTAACCTTTCAAAAAGAGTTAGTTCAAGCCACATAACACTTAAGGCCTCTGACAGGACATAACAAACGATCTGGGTCAGATCGGTCATAGAAGTGAGAAATAGCTGGCAAATGAATTGGTGAGAAGGATTCATCCCCTTCCCTGACTGCCAGTCTTAGGAAGAAATGACCTATCAGGATATAGCAGAACATAAGTGGAGTGATAAAGAGTCTTGGGCACATGTAGTGCAAACAACTATGACCTATGATGTCTACATGCCAGTAGTAACAAAAAATACACTTTATGGGAAAGGTGATACATGGTACATGAGGCTAAAGGCTCGAAAGGATTGAGACAAAGCATGTAATACCACCTTAATATCCCAGTTGGGTAATTGAAAAGGCCATTGGGACAAAGGGCTCTAAACAATTTGAGAAGGTTGTATAGCACTGGGGATTCTAATACTTTCCCATGCTTAGAAAAACGAAAAGTAGTCAATAAAGCTACCTTACATAAAGTGACAGTCAAAAAAACCAGGTCAAAAAATGAGAAATTGGTGAGCACTTTTGGGTGAAGAGGGTTCAATTTCTTGAGACACCATTGGTGAGAAGTGTGCTATTTCCACTGATAAATTGCCGTTGTGAGTCTACAGATAGATTGAGACAAATACAAGGCAATTTTAGAAGTCAAACTCTGATGCTGTGCAAAGGACCACATAACTTCCATACATGAAGTTTTGAGTTTGGGAATGTCTGGGTGCAGAATGTTGGATCAAGGTTGCTTCAACAGAGATATCTTAAAAGGAAGAGATAGAGGTGGACACTCTTGAAGATAGTGTAAAAGAGGAAAACCATGGTTGGACTGGCCAATCTAGAACTACCAACAGCACTTGACAAGAAATGGATCAAATCATAACCAGAACTCTGGGTCACAGACGAATTGGGGGAGAGGCATAGAGGTGCAACCCCATCCAATTTTGACTGAATGCATTTATTGTACAAGCCTCAGGATGAGGTACTGGGTACCAAAATATCTGTAGTTGAGAGTTTTAATGAGTGGCAAATGCATAAATCACAGGAGTCCTGAACTGAGAGCAAATCCACTGGAAAACCTCACGATGGAGCATCCATTCAGTTGGGCCAAGAAATGTGACCTGCTATTAAATTCATCACTTCTGGAAAATGGCAAGCCAAGAGGCTGATATGATAGGATTGAGCCCAGTAAAGAATAACCAAAGTTCAAAAATTAAAGGTCCAGAGAACATGTGCCCCTTGTCAGGAAAAGTAAGAGATCACTGTGGAACTGTCAGAATGAATCATGACGAATTTCCCCTTCAATAGATCTAGACCTTGAACCATTGCCTGTGGAAGGAAGATTTGTCTTCCATCCATAGACCTTGGAATTCCTGACTGTCAACATATGCACCCCATCCCTGAAGTGAGGCATCTGTGAAGAGATGAATCTTGGGACTACTAGCAGCAGGAACTACTTGATGGACACTTAACTATTACTAGCAGCAACAACTACTTGATGGACACTTAACTA